TTTGTATCAGTTTGTTTGTTATTAAGCACAAAGCTACACAAAGGACTAACTGTGCTCTGCCCACAGCAGACATACCACTGTACCACTGAGGGGGCCTTTGCTTCAGAAAAATATCTTGGTGTCTTTTCATGTTATGTCAATTTTAACCAAAGTACCTGTGAAAAAAGCTATTGAATGTTTTGAGAACAAACTGAAAGAAAATAATAATTCGGTCTTACAATTAACGGATAAGATTAACCTGGTAGAAGAAAAACTCTTTTTTTCTCAAATTAACAGTAAAATTTCTAAAAAGAATGAAAGCTTACTATGGGTTCTCCTTCATCACCTTTATTATGTGACTTATTTATGGAAAACTATGAAAAAGAAGCGTTAGAAAAAGTGGATAAGAAGCCTGTAGTTTCGTTATAGTATGTTGATGACACATTTTTGATATGGCGGCATGGTAAAGAGAAACTGGACTTTTTGCTAATTACCTTAATAACATTGACAATTCTATCAGATGTACTTATGATGTTGAGACAAATAGCTGCTTACCTTTTTTGGATGTTTAATGAGTAAAAATAAGGATAAATTGGAAACTGCTATCTATCGAAAACTTTTCTCTGCAATCGTTCCGCCACATCAAAAATCTTGTCACACTAAATCTCAGAGACAACTGATTTTACTCTTATCTTGCAAACAGGAAAATATTACTAGCGAGTTATTATTAATTAAGTACATATTAGTAGAAAGAGGTTTTAGTACTGATATTGTTGACATAGCTGTCAAAAATCCCCCAAAAAACAAGGATGAAAATATTAAGTTAAATCGATTGCTGAAAAAAAAGTATAAAAAAGAATGTTTGATACTATCATTTATACCTGGTTTATCTTGTCAAATAATGAAGCAATTTATTAAACAAATAAATAATTGTCCGATATATAAACCGATAAACTAATTTAGTCAAATTCTTAATATAGCTAAAGATAAAATTGGTTTTGTGGGAAAATTTGATATATATATAAAATATCATGTGAATGTGAAAAAGTTTATATACGACAAACTGGAAGAAATTTAAAAAACAAAATATACAAAATACATATATAATATAAAATATCATGTGAATGTGATCAGGTTTATATAGGAAAAACTAGAAGAAACTTAAAATACAAAATATACAAAATACATATATAATATAAAATATCATGTGAATGTGATCAGGTTTATATAGGACAAACTAGAAGAAATTTAAAATACAAAATATACAAAATACATATATAATATAAAATATCATGTGAATGTGATAAGGTTTATATAGGACAAACTAGAAGAAATTTAAAATACAAAATATACAAAACACATATATAATATAAAATATCATGTGAATGTGATAAGGTTTATATAGGACAAACTAGAAGAAATTTAAAATACAAAATATACAAAACACATATATAATATAAAATATCATGTGAATGTGATAAGGTTTATATAGGACAAACTAGAAGAAATTTAAGATATAAAATGAATGAACACACGAAATGTTAAAAATAATAATAATATCTCTATTTCACCATTAGCAGAACATATTCATGATACCAAATAGATAATTAAATAGGGAAAAAATTATAATTTTAGCTCAACCTGAAAATGTTACTACTAAGTCGTCAACAAACTAATGTCGCGTTTTGGAACACTTTCATTACCCCCCCCCCCCGAAGAAAAAAAAACGTACATCAAGTATAATAGTTAAACAACCCACCTAAACATCACGTGAATGTAGCCTATATAATGTGTAAAGGTTAGTGATGGCACACGTCGAGACACACATTCAGCATGTAATGCTGTTTAAATAGAAGAAGGGAAACAACGCCTTTGTAGCCTCAAAGATTATCAAAGAAGTTTATGGAAATGTTTTTAACATTCGTAAGTGTCGACGATGGTTCAGCAAATTTCGTTCAGGCGAACCGTCAATGCAGAGATCTATAGTCAGCAACTGGAACGTTTAAATCAAGTCCTTCATCAGAAACGCCCTTCGTTCGTCAATCGGAAAGGTGTTCTTCTT